GAATTATAGCATAAAGCAATAATGAAGTATAGCTGGCATGCCCTGCCCTCTTACTTTCTATGCTAAGTGAATTCACCCTTTCTTCAATATTTTTCTCCCTCTTTAATTTTTCCTTGGATATGGCATAAGCTCAGACTCATTCTGTCCTCCCACGGTGATTTCATGGGCAGTGACTATCCACAGGCCAGCACAGAATAAATAAGAAAGCCTGTCTGATAGAACTGAATCATTTGTAACTGCAGTTTGAGCATGACTACTTCAAAAATTCAATATCTGAAGTGTTCTAGATCTGCAACGTTTTGAGTGTGCCAACATGTCACCAAAAGTGGAAAGTTTCACACATGATCTCATGTGATAGGCTGCAGTCAAAACACAATCAAAAGGATTTTTGTGTCATCAAGAAAATTTGACTGTAGTTTTCTTTTTGATTATGTCTTAGCCAGATTTTGCTATCAGGATGATATTGGTTTTGTAGAATGAGTTAAGGAGGAATCCTTTGTGATTTGTTGAAATATTAGTCAAATTGATACCAGCTTTTCTTTGTAAGTCTGATGAATTCAGCTGTGAACCCATCTGGTACAGAGCTTTTACTAGTTGTAGGTTTTTCATTACTGATTCAATTTTAGAACTCGTTATTGATCTGTCCAGAGATTCAATTTCTTCCTAGTTCAATTTTGGGAAGTTGTTTCCAAGAAATTTATTCATTTCCTACAGATTTCCTACTTTTTGCACATAGAGGTATTCATAGTTGTCTCTAGGATCTTTCATATTTCTGTAGTATCAGTTGTGATGTCATCTTTGTTATTTATGATTGTGATTGTGTATATTTGAATCCTCTGTCTTTTTTCTTTTAAAATTAATCGAATGGTGTATCAATCTTGTTTATCCTTTCAGAGACCAACTTTTCATTTCATTGAAACTTTGTATAGTTTTTGGCCTCAATTTAATTTAGTTCTATTCGGATCTTTGTTATTTCTTTTATTCTACTTGTCCTGCATTTAATTTGTTCTTGTTTTTCTAGTTTGTTTAGATGTGACATTAGATTGCTAATTTGAAATATATATTTTTATGTAGGAGTTAGCACTAGAGTAGTGTTTTCTTAATAAATCTGGGTGTTCCAATGTTGAGTATACAGGTAAATATTGTTGAATTTAACACCTTATCATTGTATAGTGTTCTTTGTCCTTATTTACTTTTGTTGATTTAAAGTGTGTGTTATCCGATACAAGAATGGTGACCATTGCTCTTTATTGTTTCCCATTTGTGTATTAGATGTTTCTCCATCCCTTTATTTTAAGCCAGAGGGTGTCAGTACATGTGAGATGGGTCTCTTGAAGAAAACAGAAGCTTGGGTCTTGTTTTTTGTTTTTTGTTTTCTTAATCTAATTTGTCACTATGTCTTTTACATGGAGTATTTAGGCCATTTATGTTCAATATCAGTATTGATATGTGAGGTTTTGTTCCTGTCATAGTGTTGTTATCTAGTTGCATTGTAGCCTCAATTGTGTTGTGGCTTTACAGGGTCTGCGAGCTTTGTACTCACATGTGTTTTTATGGTAACACTTATCATTCTTGTGTTTCCATGTTAAGAAATCTATTGAGCAGTTCTTATAGTTCCTATATGATGGTGACAAATTCCCTTAGCATTTGTTTGTCTGGAAAAGACTTTATTTCTTCTTGGTTTATGATGTTTAGTTTAGTGGGATATGAAATTATTGGTTGGAGTTTTCTAAGAAGACTAAATATAGGCTTCCAATCACTTGTGGCTTGTGAGGTTTCTGCAAGGAAATCAGCTGTTAATCTAAGATGATTCCCTTTATAGATTATTTGGCCATTTTCCCTAGCTGCCTTTAATATATTTTTTTAAATTGACCTTAAATAGTCTAATGATACATGTCTTGTGGTGAACATCTTGGATAATATTTTGCAGGAGATCTCTGAGTTTTTTGTATCTAGAAGTTAACCTATCTAGTAAGATTGGGAAAATTTTTTGTGAATTATTCTCTGAATATGTTTTCCAGTTACTTACTTTTTCTTCTTTCTCAGGAATGCCAGTAAGTTGTAGGTTTGGTTACTCTTCATAATATCATATTTCTGGAAAGGTTTGTTCACTCTTAAAAATAATTTTTTTCTTTTTTTTTTTTTATTACAGTTTCAAAGACTGATCTCCAAGCTCTGAATCTCTTTCTTTTGCTTGGTCTATTTTATTGTTAATTCTTCCAATGGTATTTTGGCATTCCTGTGGTAATTTTTTCAATTCTACGAGTATTGTTTGGCTCTTTCTTTATGTAACTATATTCTCTTTTTGTCCTGGATTTTGTGTTTGTTTGTAATAAATGTCAACTTTCCCTTGGATCTCATGTTTTCTTAAAATACATTTTTTGAATTTTTTACCACTCATTTCATACATTTTAATCTGATTAGAATCCATTGCTAGAGAGCTAGTGCCATGTTTTTGAGGTGTCAAAACACCTTGGCTTTTTGTGCTGCTGGAGTTATTGAACGAGTTCTTTCTCATTTTGGGAGCTGTCATTTCTTATTTTTGAAATAGCTAAGGTTTGGGTGAGGCTTTTAAAAATGTTTGTTTTGGGCTATTACTGTAGTTTACATTCTAGATGATCATTGGGCTTTGTTTCTGTGTGCTTTCAGGGGACCAAGACTCTGTATGGGTTCTTTGGTTATAGATAGTTCCTATGTGCTGGCTTTCTCAGATGCTGCTTGTAGTGATGAATTTTTGGTGTTAGTGCAGTTCAGGCTGCAGTCCAGTAGATGGTGCTTAAGAGTAACAGCTTGCAGGTAAGCTGATGCCCACTGGACATACCCACACTAACGGGCGTTGCAGGAAGGGATCATAATGTGTTAAGCTTTAGTCTCAGGAGAAAGGGGCTGAGAGTGGGTACCAGCTCCTCCTCCTGCCCCAGCAGAAAAATAATCCACTTCCCTTTCATATCTCTATTGCCTGGTTTATGATGTGTTTATAAAGGCTTCATCCTTTGGTTCCCTGATGCACTGTAGCTGTGGGCCATGGATCTGTCTCTCTGATGGCTAAGTCTAGAATGTGAGTTAGGAAGTCTCTGTCCCCAGTCCAGGGCAGGCAACTCCATGTTCTATCCTCTGCTGCCAGGGTGCTGCTGCCCTGTATAGGAAGGGGTGCTTTATTCCACTCTTCATGAAAGCCCAAGCAGGTGCAAGTTCACATTCAGTGGGGACGAAACACTAGAAATGCATAAAAAGCCAGTTTCATTCAGTACATGCTAACTTTCAGTGTGAGTGGAGCTGCCAGATAAGCACAGAATGCACCTTATTTCAGTGAATGTTCACCAAGTCTGGCTGGAGAAACTGTGGTGTCTGCAATAATGTGTGGGGCAGAGGGGTCAGGAGATGACTTCCTTGCCATTCCCATTACCTTCAGCAATTGACACCGTGTCCCTGTTTTAATCGTTGCAAGCGGAGCTTTGTCAGGCTGTGCTTCCCCCTCCCTTAGGGGCAACCCATACCAACGATTAGATCTCTAGAGGACCCACAACTTTCCAGGGACCTTCCAGTCCCCTGTGCTTGCCAAAGTCAAAACAGGTGGTGTGGTATGTTTGTAAATGATCTGCTGGTGTGGTTTCTCAAGGGCAGAGCATCCCTGGGCAGGGCAGTGGCATCACAGGGACACAACCAGTATGGTTCTGAGGGGAGTGTGGGCATGGCTGCATGAGCTAGTCACCCAGTTTTCTGTTCCCAGGAAGTTCTTCTGGGCAATAATCTCGTCCTGGGTTGTAAGGATAGAGGGGCTCCCCAACAGTTTAGAAGTAAGCAGACTGTCAGAGGAGTGAGTAGAACAGAGAGGCACTCCCACTTACTCTTTCCTCTAGGGAAAAGACAGTTTCCTCAATAAATGCTGCTGTAAAAGCTAGATATCCATGTGCAGAAAAATGCAGACCCCTGTTTATTACCACAATCAAAAATCTAATCAAAATTAATAAAACACTTAAATATAAGACCTGAAACTGTAAAACAACTAGAAGTATACATTGGAGAAATGCTGTAAGACATTGTTTTGGGTAAATATTGTTTATGCATGGCTTCAAAAGCACAGGCAACCAAAGCAAAAATAGACAAATGAGATTACATCAAGCTAAAAAGCTTATGCACAAAAAAGGAAACAACAAAGTGAAGAGGCAACCTACAGAATAGGCTAAAATATTTACAAACTATGTAATAAGGGATTGATAACCAGAATATATAAAGAGCTCAAACAATTCATGAGAAAAATATCTAATGATCTTATTTTAAAATGAACAAAAGATCTGAATAGACATTTCTTAAAAGAAGACATAGAACTGGTCAGCAGGTATATGAAAAATGCTCAACATCACTAACTGTCAAAGAAATGCAAATCAAAACCACAAGGAGACACTATCTTACCAAGGCAAATGGCTTTTATCCAAAAGACAGGCGATACATAACGCTGGAGAGGATGCAGAGAAAGTGAAATACTCATATGCTGTTCATGGGAATGTAAATTAGTACAGCCACTAGGAAAACAGTACAGAGATTCCTCAAAAACTACTAATAAAACTACCATTAATACAGCAATTTCATTATTTGGAATTTACCTGAAGAAAAGGAAATCATTATGTTAAATATGTCTATGCCCTCATGTTTATTAAAGCACTATTCACAATAACCAAGATATGGAAATCAACCTGCATGTCAAAAAAAAAAAAATCGAGGGGATAAAGAAAATGTGGTATATAAACGAAATAGCATATTATTCAGCCATGAAAAAGAAGAAAATCCTGTCATTTGCAGTACCATGGATAGAACTGGAGACCACTGTGTTTGCTGAAATAAGCCAGGCACAGAAAGACAAATATTCTACATGCTCACGTATATGTGGTAACTAAAAACTTGGATATCATGAAGACAAAGAGTAGACTGATGGTTACCAGAGGCTAGAAATGGCAGTCAGGAGGAGGGGATAAAGAAGTAAGACCTAGCGTTTAATAGATCAGTAGGGTGGCTAGAGTTAACATTAATCTAGCACATATTTTACAATGTCTAAAAGAGAATTTTTCAAATGTTCCTAATATTTAAAAGATAAATATTTTATGATGATGAATGTCCCAGTTGTTCTGATTTGACCTGCACATACTATATGAATAAATCAAATTATCCTAGTACCCCCAAAATATGTGATTCTATTATGCATTAATAAAAATATGTAGCAATACCACAATTTTAAAAATCTTCCCAAAAATGGATATTGTTTTCTGTGTAGACTTAGAAAAGAGCATTTTGGTGGACAGTCATCAATTTTTGAATGGCTTGGAAGGTGGGAGAAGAAGTATCTTTCTAGTATCTCTGAGTTTGTTACTCCAGGATCCAAGCCAAAGACTGAGATATGTGCATAACAAACTATTTCTGTCCTGAAAACAAGGTCACCCATATCTGTAGTTACCAGCTACTTCAGTATAAAAAAGGTAAGAAAAGACAGAATGAAAAACGGACACAGCAAAGTACATTCTAAATAAGTTTTAAGGAGAAAGATGAAGCCAACACTTAAAAATCTTCTTTAAAACTAATGTGATTTGTGTGTGTGTGTGTGAGGTAAGGCCGAGTAACCCATTATTTCTATAATGTTTAATACAAAGATGAATATTCATCACAGTCAGCAATAATATGACCTAGGAATTCTATCCTTGTCTAGATTATGTAAAATTATGAACTAGACAAGACTTATTCTCACTTTTTTATTCTTCATCTTCATTTTTCATCTGAGTAATCAGTTGTTCTCATTTTTATTTACTTTACCAAAGTTCAGAGTCATAATAAATAAACAAGTTACCTAAAATGTAAGTTATCTGATATATTCCTTAAAAGCTTTGAACCAAGTAACAGATATGGATCCTATCTTAGGTCAAGTTCACTAGAAGAGCCTGAGAGTGATATTTTTACAACTGTGATTTATTTAGGGGATGTTCTTGGGAGAAACCTGTAACAGAGTGAATGGAGTGGCAGAGCAAAAGGGGAGAGCAAAGTAAAAATGCAGTTTCAGATGAGGTCCAGCCTCAGCCTGGTCATATCTAGTGCTCTAGAGTAGAGTGCTCAAACCCAGGGTTCAGACCCTATAGGTCTGTGGCCAGCCTGCGTGCACAGCAGGAGGTGAGGAACAGGCCAGCATTACCACCTGAGCTCCACTCCCTGTCAGATCAGCGGGGCATTCAATTCTCCTAGGAGCATGAACTCTATTGTGAACTGCTTATTTATGAACTGTGCATGAGAGATTGCCTGCTCCCCATTCCACCCCTGCCCCCATGAAAAAAAATTGTTTTCTGCAAAACCGGTTCCTGGTTCCAAAGTTACAGGCTGTCTCCCAAGAGGCAAGGGCTTTTGTACTCCAGCAACAGTCAGTCACCTTCTGGTCTCCTGCTGAGGGCAGCAGTTCCACAGCCAAAGGCAGTCCTCCAGGAGAGATTGAAAAAGTACGTCGATAGCTGCAGATAAAAAAGATTTTCAGGAATTCGTGTGAGACACCAATGGTGTCTACTAGGGCCATATTAAAGTGATTATTTCTCTAAAATATTAGATCATTTTTGAGTGGCTTGCACTTGAGAATGACATGAGGGAATGAGAAGCAGCATCTTTTCAGTATCTCTTAGGTTATTTCAGCTACCAAACATGATTTCTCACAAATCTGACTTAATAATGCTTGATACACATTAAACGAAGAGAGTTTCCCCGACAAACCTTATCATCTGTGTGGTCCTTTTCTCCGTGAAGTGTTTTTCAAGTATTTTCATGTAAATGCAGATATTAAATATGTAACAATGTAGATATTATTCTTGGATCTCCTAATGATTCTGAGATATAAGTGAAACAAGCATGCATTGTCATTTTTTAAATAAGCAAACCAAGACATAGAGAAGCCATAGACTAATAGTATTCACACAATTCTTAAGTACTACTTTAGAAAACCTAATTCAGTGTTCTTTTCATTTTGCTACAGTCTCTCTTTCAAATAATGTTTTAACTTCCCAAACTATGTTTTCATTTAAAATTTCAAAATTCCATCGTTCTAGATAAGACTTTACTTCAAAGATTCCACCTAGAGGCGAAGCACCTAGAATAGCATGAACATCATTTAAAATCTACATTTTTCATTTATTATCTATGTGACCTTAGGCAACTCATGCTAAATGTTAGTTTTCTTCATTGAAAAATATCAAGTAGAAATAATACCTTTGTGCCAAGATGATTTGGGCTATATTTAAAGGCAATAAAATATTTGCATATTATAAAATACTTTAATGTATTATTATCATCATCAGCATCAGCATCATTTGAGAAAGACCAGATAATATATTTCATTTTCAGATAATGGTTATCTTGAAAATGAAAACAAAAATAAAAACTGTGCCAGACTGTCAGGCACAGTTTTTGTCTTTGTTTTCATTTTCAAGATAACCATTACATCACACCTTTAAATCTTCTATTATTCAGAAGGTTTAAGAGTCAAAGATAATAGGACTCCAGACTTGGCTTTATCACCAGACAGTATCTTGTCCATTGTAGTGACCCAAAACTTGACTCTTCTTCTCTTGCTTGGGACTCAATTCCACTTGATGCCAGACAGCTTGTTGAGGCCCAAAGCATGTGTTGACATTCTTGATGAATTTTCTTCCTTTTTTCATATAGGTGCATAATTTGCAGCCTAAGTAACATAGTTTGGCAGTACCATTTACCTCTACTTTTTTTTTTAAGAAAATCTTTACACTGTATTTTTTCACTTCAATTAAATTATTAAATAGAATTTATAACCACAGTTTTGGGTCATAAAATATGTATATAACATTTTTTCTTTAAAAATAGAAAAGTAATTTCTGAGTTTTAAAAATATATAAAACAGCCAGGTGCAGTGCTTCACACCTGTAATCCCAACACTTTGGGAGGTTGAGATGGGCGGATCTCCTGAGGTCAGGAATTTGAGACCAGCCTGGCCAAGATGGTAAACCCCATCTCTACTAAAAATAGAAAAATTAGCCACGTGTGATGGCATGTGCCTGTAATACCGGCTACCTGGGAGGTTGAGGCAGGAGAATCACTTGAACCTGGGGATCGGAGGTTGCAGTGAGCTGATATCGCACCATCGCACTCCAACCAGGGTAACAGAGCAAGACTCTGTCTCAAAAAATAAATAAACAAACAAAAATGTATAAAACTATCATAATCACAATGCATAATTACTATGAATTATTTGTCACCCGGACAGTGAACGAAGGGTGTTATAATATTAAAAGATGCAACATCTCCAGCCTTATAATCTTTCCATCAGAAGTTCTCGAGATTACTGAATAGTTACTCAAGCATTCTGAACTATGCTAACTAGTATCACAAGCTGTATTGACCCTAACATTTCTTAAGTGTGTTAGTACATTCAAAATAGACATTTTTGACAAATTGTCGCATTCATGAGATATGAATTCAAACAGCATGTGTTAAAAAGCAATTTAAGGCAACCGTATCTCAAATTAATTTATTGAAATAAAATGTATTTTTGGCTTAAATACCTATACAATAGTCAAATATGTGCATATAATTGAGTTGGTAGAAAAATATTCCTCACATACATAAAGCAATTAATATTCAAAACATAAAGCAATTAGCCTTTCTTTTATTTTCCTAGCTGGCTGAATTGGACCCAGCAGTGTGTAACTGTGTGATAATGTAAATGACTCAACATATCCTAAATGTTTAGCATCTTAAATTTTAAGGTCAATGATTCAAATTGCAGTACAGCACATAACTCAACTGAAAGAAAGATAGAGAAAGGAAGGAAAGAAAGAGGAAAGGTTGGTTTGGCAACCATTTAATATTATGTCATCATGAGATTTTACTAAATGTAGAGGAATATTTAGTATGTAATGGGTTTTGTGCTTGTATTTGTAGTTTTCATGACGGCTAGCTCTTTTTATAGCTTGACTTGGAAAGAAGGAAAGAGGGAGGGAAGGAAGGGGAGAGAGAGAAAGGAAGAATGAGAAAGAAAAAGGAAAGAAAGAAAGGGAAAAGAAAGGAAGGAAGGAAAGGAAGGAAGGAAGGAAAGAAAGAAGGAAGGAGGGAAGAAAAGGAGGGAGGGAGGGAAGGAAATGGTTGGTTGATTTCAGTGAGATCAGATACTCATTTTGTCATATTTCAGTGACCTAAATTCCATTGTACTAACGCCAAATACTGCAGTAAACAGACTAACTCTCCAGAATATAATAATTTACTTAAAAACTTAAAAATATACAAAGATGACTTAAAAATATACAAAGGTTGATGCCCTTCTGTATTTTTCTTTTTTTTTTTTTAAATGTAACAGAATGGGCTTCTTTATTTGATGGTAGAAGCACAAATTATTTTTAAAATACTTATTTTATTGAGTAAATCTCACATTCAGGAACTAAGTCTACAGAAATGCAAGCATTAATATAAAATGAAATAATAAACACATACACACAAATATAGACACAAAGATGTCTGTTATAGAATTGTTGGTAGGAGCAAATATTTGATGAGTCATCAATAAGAGAAGCATTGAATAATTTGTGGAATACACTTAATGTGGAATATTATGCAATTATAAAAAATTGTTCTATTATGTGTGACCTAGAATGATGGTCATGATATAAAGCAAAGTGAGAATGATACAAAAGTTTAAGTGTAATGTGTACATTATGATCCTGTTCTTTAAAATGAAAAAGGAAAATACCCTCATAAAACCCTATATATGCATGTGTATTTGTGTGCTTTCTATGCCTGCAGACCTAACATGCATAGGCATAGGCTACTGAGCTGAAAGTACAGAGGTCCCATATATTCTTTGTCCCCACAGACAAATTCCCCCTCCTTCTAAATCAAACATTTTGCTTAGGCATTAATATAATCTTACATATAAATAAATATATCTAAAATGGGAAGCATTGGTTTTACTAACTCTGGCTCTCAGAAATTAGCCTTTTTCTGCCTTCCACATTTATGCAGAAAAGAAAGACTTTAAGAATTCAGTTACCTTGGCCGGGCCTGGTGGCTCACGCCTGTAATCCAAGCACTTTGGGATGCCAAGGCAGGTGGATCTCTTGAGGTCAGGAGTTAGCTACCAGCCTGGCCAACATGGTGAAACACCTGTCTCTACTAAAAATACAAAATAGCCTGACATGGTGGCACGCACCTGTAATCTCAGCTACTCGGAAAGCTGAGGCAAGAAAATCAATCACTTGAACCCAGGAGATGGAGGTTGCAGTGAGCCAAGATCACACCACTGCACTCCAGCCTTGTACTAAGCCTACTGAAATTATTCCAAGGGCAAGACTCTGCCAAAAAAAAAAAAAAAAAATCAGTTATATCAGTTTGTTAAATCTTAAAGACAAGACGAAGGTGTCCTGGTGATCTTAGAACCTCCTTTTCTGTGACTAGTTTTTCAGACCCCCAGTGATCATTCTAGCTCCAGGGGAGAATAGTACTGCTCATAAACTTGACCCAAGTATTTTGGTTTTGTTTGAAATCAGTGAGCACAAGACAACAGGAATTCTATGTTAAATTGAGTTTATACTTGTGTCATGGTATATTTTTTAAGTTTCGTGTCAAATCGAGAGATAGAAAAATAGTGCGTCATGTCAAACAGGATTTTCACCTCTACCCAGTTATTTTCACACCAGCTCTATCAAGCTGTTTATAGAGGATTAGTAAATTATTTATTTTTGTTTTCCTAACATGCCATAGGCACACAATTGAGTGTATATTGGCCTTACTATGCTTAAGTCCAAATTGAAACTTCATCAGGCCAGTATTCTAGAAAAACTATTTAATAATGTTGTTTCCATCACCAAGACATACTTCAAAGCCATAAAATCTGTAGTGAATATTTTTAATTGGCTTTCAGTTCTAAAATGAATATCATTACATGTTTTGATTATTTCCATAAATGACGACAAAAAGTTTCAAATACTGTGACAACTATTAACTCCTTCAGGTGTCAGGAAATAATTTTTTTAGTTGTTATAAATTACAAGCTAAATGAATATGATAGCATCTGAGGTGGACCACCTAGGTAGGAAGAAATAAGCTGCTCAGTACTCCGTGATGAAAGCCCAATTATTTTATCTTTGCCCAAGAAATTATTAACATAATTTTTCTATAATATTCTCCTTTAGTCAGTGTTCATTTAGTAAGGAAAAAATCTCTAAACTATTAGTAGAAATTTTATAGACATGAGTTGTCCCCTCAATAAAGAAATCATAATACCACTCATTTATATGGTACGTGAAAGTTTAAAATTTTTTTGCCTATAGTCTTCTCAGCAAGAATGTATCTCCCCACTTGGATCGGATTTCCTTTTCAATAAATAAACTTTCATATTAATCACAGGGTCATGCTTTATGTTTCTATGGGAGACCAATTCAAAAACCACAATCGGTAACCATATCTCAGTTGGCCTCTGGGCAGCACATTCTCCATCATATAAATATTAGAGATTTATATTTCATATGTGGGACATCTAATTATTTTTTTAACAAATAGGTTAAAAGTTTTCTGATAGATCATGTCTTGGTTAACAATTCTGCCATGAAGAATAACTCTTAATTCCTCTTTTAATTATTCCATTCTATTTTATAAAGGCTATCAAATGATCAACTATTCACACTCATTTAATTTAAAAATTACGGCTATGACATATGTTGTTATTGAAACATCAGAGGAGCCCTCTTTTATTTGGTGGTTCTGGATCAACTACTAGGGTTCAATCTGAGTCAACACAGTTGTACTCATTATTATTTATTATTGTTTCATTATTGTTCTCACCTTTCTTATTTTACTTATTTTCTTCTCTATCCCCCTCCAACCTGCCTGCATAGGCAACCGTTTAATCTTTTGTAAGCATGCGATCTTGCTAAATGTCTATCATTACTTTGTATGCTTGTGTTTTTAATTTTCACAAAGGCTGGTACATTATATAGCTAATTCTTTTTCTTGGATTTTTTACTAAGCACAATTTTTCAAAGATTTTCCTATGTCGCTATGTGGACCTCAAATCAGTGGCTTCTAACTACTATACAACATGGCGAGTATACTTCCTCACTCCCCTGTAATGAACATCCTGAATGCTTCTAACTTCTTACCTCCACAAATAATTCCCTACAAGGAACATACACATACATAACCCCTTATGAATCTGTACAAAAATTACTATGGGACTTATATTCAGGAGGATAACTGATGTCTAAGAAGTTGCATGGTTTTCTCCAGAACAGCTGCACAATTCTGCAATTCCACCAGAGGAATCTAAACATTCCTAAATCCCATATAACCTCCAGTGCTTTGCACGTTGTCAAACTAAGAATGGTTTAGTGGAATCAAATGGTTGTTTTCATTTGCATTTATATACTTACAAATAGTTTGAAAATCTTTTTATATGAAGAGACTGTGGTCTTTTTCACTGCACAAAAGTACTCAATTTTTGCATAATCACAATGATACACTTTTTGCCCTATGGTGTGCACTTTTGAAAATTGTTTAATATTTCCCATAACATAATCACAGGGATATTTTACTCACTTCTTCTATTAACTTTACAGCTTTATATTGCATATGTGGATCTTTACGCCACCTAGAGACTTCCTTTGCATGAATAACTTCACGTATATTGTGAATAATGGTTTTGAAAGAGCAGATAGGTGTAAAAGTAGGAATGCAGCATTAAGAAAGTATAAGAGCAAGTTGTAATAGCTGACGAGAACATATATCAGGAAAAACAAATTGGTGAGAATTATTTTTAACAATTTCACCTTTTCAATAAGTATTTTCAGATTTGTGTGTGTGTTTTCTAAAACCCAAAGGTAAAGGCATTTTGCAAATAACTGTATAAGAATTCAAACATATTTCTGCAAGTATTGTGGTGGCAATATTATATTGAAAGTAAAATCATTATTATAACAACATATATATTTTTTCATATGAACCTAAACCTTAGGATTCTTCACTATGTTTTTCCTCTATCCTTTTAACTAACATGCACATTTAGTATGAATTAGAAATTTATAAACTACATAATCATTCCATGTAAATTTGCTTTTAAGCTTTACTCCTAATAGTAAAATAAGATAGATATTTAAAAAAATGTTAAGTGCCAAGTCAAAGTCATCATTTAAACTTTGAAATAACATGTGAATATTTTATTTTTGAAAAGTAAAATATGATAAATTTTGTCATATCAAACTTTCAACATTGATACTCAATTGATAATGGCATTTAAAATTCTACCCCAAAAATAAGACAATTATTGACAGGATTGGCTGTATATACAAAAATTAATTAATGGAATTATGTAGAATATCAGAAATATACCTATCATTAAATATGTTAAAATGAATTTATTAAAATATTCACATGCCCTCAAATTTTTAGTTTATCTTTCATCTGTATGGAAAGAAAACATTGATGATAATTATGATTGTTGAAAGTTAAAAAAAAGTTTAGAAGGCCAGCCACAGTGGCTCACGCCTGTAATCCCATCACTTTGGGAGGCCTATAGGGGTGGATCACGAGGTCAGGAGATCAAGACCACCCTGGCCAACATGGTGAAACCCCATCTGTACTAAAAATACAAAAATTATCTAGACGTGGCAGTGCACGCCTGTAGTCCCAACTATTCGGGATGCTGAGGCAGGAGAATCACTTGAACCTGGAAGGCGGAGGTTTCGATGAGCTGAGATCACACCATTGCACTCCAGCCTGGGTAACAAAGAGTGAAACTCCTTCTCAAAAAACTAAAAATAAAAAATAGCAGAAACCACTTCAAAACTAATTAAATACAGAAGTTAAATTAAATTTTAACATTGTGAAAACATTTCAGAGCAAATTCTAATAACTAGGCATATGGTTTTCTTTGCTATTGTGTTTGTTTCTTAACATAGAAGGGAAGATGAAGACAATTTTACAGGCACATGAAATATAAAAGATTCACTTTAGGAATAAAATATTGATTTAAAATAATTGAACTTGCATTTTATTTTCTTAAATTTCCAGCTCCCAACTAAATAATTAATTAGTTGTTTATCTTCGATCATAACTTTATCCTTGCATACCAGATATTTTGACATTTTTATGGCCAACAGAGCTTCATGTGGATTTTTTTTTTCTAAAACTAAACATGTTATCTAAGAGAATGACCTTCACAGATGGAGACAGTCTTGCTTTTTAATAAGGGACTAACAGTAGTGATAATTCCCTGATAGACTGATAGAATTTGTAAGCAAACTGAAGAAAAATATACCTGTGTTGGCAATGCAATAAAATAAAATTAACCAATTAACCAATTTTGCTTCCTATTGCTGTTTTAACATGTTACTAAAAATGTTAGTGTGTTAAGCAATACAAGCTTATTATATCACAGTTCTGGAGCTCAGAAGTCTGACACACATCTCACCGAGCTAAAATCAAGTCATCGTTGGGCTACAACAGAGCTCTGTTCCTCCACTGAAGTGCTGGATTGATCTGTTTCCTTGCCTTTCCCAGCTTCCAGAGGATGCCCCCATTCCCAGGCTTGTGGTCTCCCTTCTTCCATCTTCGAAGCTTACAAAAAGGAAACTAGCCCTTTCCACAACATTTCACTCAATGCTCTTCCATAGATATACCTCTGCTAACTCGGCTACCCTCCTCTGCAGCCTTTCCCTCTTCCATTGCTAAGATCCTCTCTCTCTGATACATTGGGCCCACCTTAATAACCCAGGCTAATCTCCCTGTCCCATGGTTAACTGATTAGCATCTGTAATTTCACTGGTTACCTCAATTCCACTGTGCCATATCACTTAACATATTCAAAGCTGGGGATTAGGATATGAATATCTTCAGGGTGCTATTATTCTGCCTCTGCTATATAGCAGAAACTGGTATTTCAGGAGATTTATAAGACCTGATCCAAAAAAGTTGATCCTCATCAATATTTATTTTATTTACTTGTTAATTAACTATTCAAATTTTATTTTAGACTGTTAACTGGGGGTTAATTAATATGCAGTACAAAGAAAAATAAGCATGTGATTTCCCCACTCTCTTAAGTTCTACTGCCTACAGCAAATTCCTACCAAAACAAAAATTCTATAAATGATTGCTCTGTATTTTTATGTTTAATTTTAGAAAACTGATATAAAGTTTATAACTGATACTATTAAAATATTTCATGATGTAATCATCAATATTTTTGCTTAAACTTTTGCTAAAATTTTACAAGGACCTTGTATCCTGCCCCCTACCACTACTGGCTCCCATATTCCAGCTTGTCTTCCACACTGCTGGTGAAATTATTTTCTTAAAAAGAAAATTCTATCATGTCACCTTTTTTTCCTTACATTTACATTTTACAGCTGGATTTCTCAATTTGTCCAACACAATGAAAAAGAAGCATGTGCTAATAGCATATTCTCAAGGTTAGCTTATAAAGATGTTTTTCTTTCGAACACTTCCATTAACTGAAAGAAAACAGCTTATAATGAATCTGTAAGTTGAAAAATACTTATTTCATTGTTTATTAGAGTCATTAGCCTGGCATGTAAGATCGACAGAATGAATCACTTTTCTGTTTAAAATTATAAATATCTCCTAATATGTCTGTGTCCCTCTCCAGGCAAAGGGTACCTTGGAGCAGACACAATCTTACTCTGGTATGTGTGTATTTCCACACCTGTCACTAATACATGGCATATAGCATGATGCCTCAGCTTGGGAGTAAGAATACCTAAATTTTAGTGATGGTTCTGCCACTGCCTATTTCTGTAATGACAACCAAATTGCTAACTCATTCTTATGTATATAACAGGAATAAGAATAGTACATACCTCATTAAGTTCATTCATAAGTAAAATAACACTTACAAAATATAAGGGGAAGTGGGGAGAAGAGATAAAGTAGGAATGATTAATCAGTAAAAAAAATATAGTTAGACTGAATACAATCTAGTATTTGATAGTACAACAGGATGACTATACTCACCAATAAGTTATTTTATATTTTAAAACAACTATAAGATTATAATTGGACGGTTCCTAACACAATAATTAATACTGAGGGGATGGATACGCCAATTACCCTACTAAGTTTATTACACGTATGCCTGTATCAAAACATCACATATATCCCATAAATATATATACACCTATTAGGTACCCATATGGTGTAGTTGGTATATTTGTTCATGCCAAATCTCACGTTGAATTATAATCCTCAGTATTGGAGGTTGGACCTTGTGGGAGATGATTGGAGCATGGGGTGGATTTCTCATAGATGGTTTAGAACTATCCCCTTGGTCTTATGTTTAAGTCTTTAATCCATCTGTAGTTAATTTTAGTGTTAAACATAAGACCTAACGCCATAAAAAACCTAGAAGAAAACCTAGGCAAAACCAATTCAGGACATAGGCATAGGCAAGGACTTCATGACTAAAACACCAAAAGCATTGGCAACAAAAGCCAAAATAGACAAATGGGACCTAATTAAACTCCAGAGCTTCTGCACAGCAAAAGAAATAATCATTAGAGTGAGTTGGCAACCAACAGAATGGGAAAAAAATGTTTGTAATTCACCCATCTGACAAAGGGCTAATATCCAGAATCTGCAAAAAACTAAAACAGATTTACAAGAAAAGAACAAACAAGCCCATTCAAAAGTGGGTGAAGGATATGAACACTTTAGAAAAGAAGACATATATGAGGCCAAAAAACACATGAAAAAATGCTCATCATCACTGGTCATTAGAGAAAAGCATATCAAAACTACATTGACGTACTATCTCACACCAGTTAGAATGGTGATCATTAAAAAACCTGGAGACAACAGATGCTGGAGAGGATATGGAGAAATAGGAACAATTTTAACACTGTTGGTGGGAGTGTAAATTAGTTCAACCATTGTGGAAGACAGTGTGGCCATTCCTCAAGGACCTAGAAATAGAAATTCAATTTGACCCAGCAATCCCATTACTGGGTGTATATCCAAAGGATTATAAATCATTCTATTATAAGGACACATGCACACGAATGTTCAGTGTGGCAGTGTTTACAATAGCAAAGACTTGGAACCAACCCAAATGCCCATTGATGATAGATTGGATGGGGATAATGTGGCACATATACACCATGGAATACTGTGCAGCCATCAAAAACGATGAATTCGTGTCCTTTGTTGGGACATGGATGAACCTGGAAACCATCATTCTCAGCAAACTGACACAAGAACAGAAAATCAAACACCTCAGGTTCTCATTCATAGGTGGGTGTTGAAAAATGAGAACACATGGACACAGGGAGGGGAGCATCACACATTGGGATCTGTTGGGGGGAGCTAGGGGAGGGACAGCAGGGAGTGGGTAGTTGGGGAGGGATAACATGGGGAGAAACGCTTGATATAGGTGATGAAAAGGAAGGCAGCAAACCACATTGCCATGTACGTACCTATGCAACAATCTTGCATGTTCTTCACATGTACCCCAAAACCTAAAATGTAATAATATATATATATTATAAATATATGTGTGTATATATATATATATATATATATATATATATATAGTGTGTGTGTGTGTGTGTGTGTGTGTGTGTGTGTGTGTGTGTATGAACTATCCCCTTGGAACTGTCCTTAGTGAGTTTTTTGCTGCAAGATCTGGTCATTTCAAAGTGTGTGGTCCTCCCTACTCTCTCACTTGCTTCTGCTTTCATCATGTGATGTACCTATTCTCCCTTCACCTTCTATAGTAATTGTAAGTTTCCTGAGGCCTCCCTAGAAGCTGAGCAGATGCCAGTATTATGCTTTCTGTAAAGCCTGTAGAACTGTGAGCCAAGTAAACCTCCTTTTAAAATAAATTAACCAATCTCAAATACTTTTTTACAGCAATGCAAGAATGGCCTTATATATCATAACAATTTTTAAAAACTAAAATTATACACAGTGCCTTTATTAAGGAATTTTTTTCATGTTTCATGGATGAACCAACAAACAATAATACATGATGGAATGAACAACACTGACAAACTTTTAGCTAGATTACTAAGAAAAAGAGAGAGAAGACTCAAATCAGATATTAAAAAGGAGATACAATAACTAAGACAACAGAAATACAAAGGATATTAAGAGACTATTCTAAACAATTATGTGCCAACAAATTTGATGAGCTACAAGAAATGACTACATTCCCAGAAATATACAATCTGACAAGCCTGAATCATAAAGAAATAAAAAATCTGAACAGATCAATAATGAGAAAGAAGATTGAATCAGTAAGAAAAGTCTCCTATCAAAGAAAAGCCTACATCTGATTTCTTTGTTGCTGAATTTTATCAGACAGTTAAAGAAGACTCGATTTAATAAAAATTATTCTCAACTGCTTCCAAAAAAGTTAAGAAAAAGGAATTCTCCCAAACTCATTTTAAGAGCCCAACATTACCCCAAGGCCAAAGCCAGAAAAGGATACTAGAAAAAAAGAAAATTATAGACTGAATTCCCTGATGCACATAGATGCAAAAATATAACAAGATACAAACAAACTTAATTCAACAGCACATTAAAAAATCATTCACCACATTAAAGTGGAATTAATCCCAAAGATACAATGATTGGTCAACCTGTACAAATATATAAATGTGATATACCACATTAGCATAATTAAGGACAAAATGTAAGAAAATTTAAATAGATACAAATAAAACATTTAAGCTTTTAACAAAATTCACCATATTTTTATGGTAATAACTCTCAGAAAAGTATGTATAAAAGAATGTACCTCAACATAAGCTTACATATGACAAACACACAGCTAACATCACACTCAGTGATACAAGTTGAAAGAATTTTTTTTCTGAGATCAAGAGAAGGATGCTCACTCTTGCCACATCTACTCAACATAATATTGGACCTCCTACCTATAGCAATGAGGTGAGAGAAGAAACAAAAGGCATCCAAATTGGAAAGAAGTAAGTTAAGTTGTTTCTGTCCACAGAATTTACACACAAAAAAAGTTAAGTTTTTGAGACTAATAAATGAATTCAATGAAGTTTTAGGATGTAAAAATGAGTAGCATTTCTATACATAAGAGTGAACTGTATTTAAAAAAGAAAATAATCACATTTACAATAGCTTCAAAATATGAATGAATTTAATCATAGGTAAAAATATGCACACTACAAACTGTGAAATATAGAAAGAAATAGAAGACAGAAATAAATGGAAAGATACGCTGTTTACATGGTTTTGAAGAATTAATATTGTTAAAATGTCCTTACTACCCAAAGAAACCTACATATTTAACACAAACCCTATCACAGTACCAATGACATTTATCACAGAAATACAAAAGCAATACTAAAATTTGTCTGATACCACAAAAAATTCTGAATAGCCAAAACAATCTTGAGCAAAAACAACAAAGCTGGAAGCCTCATATTACCTGACTTCAGAATATATTACAAATTTATAGTAACCAAATAGCATAGTACTGACATAGAGTAAAACATATAAACCAATGGAACAGAATAGGGAGAACAGAAATAAATACTGATTTTTGACACGTGTGTTTAGAACACCCAATAGGAAAAGAACAGAATCTTCAATAAATGGTGTTGAGTAAGCTGGATATCCACCTGCAGAAGAATGAAATTAGTTTTTTATCTTATACCATATATAAAAAATCAACTCAAAATAGATTAAAAACTTCAATTTAAGACCCAATACTATGAAACTGCAAAAAGAAAATATGTGGGGAAAGCTCCATAGCATTGGTCTATCCAGTGGTATCTTGGATATGACTCCAATAGAACAGGCCTTCAAAACAGAAATATATAAAAGGGATTACAGCAATCTAAAAAACTTTAGCATAACAAAGAAATGATCAACAGAATGAAAACACAATCTACAGAAAGAGAGTAAATATATCCAAAGTATACATCTGATAAAGGCTAATATCCAAATTTCATAAGGAATTTAAATAGCTCAATAGCCAGGAAACAACCCTATTAAAAAATGGTCAAAGGACTTGAATAGACTTTTGTCAAAAAATATATGCAAATAGCAAACAGATATATGAACAAAATGTTTAACATCATTAATCATGAGGAAAATGCAAACAAAAACCGTAATGAGATATTACCTCACATTTGTGAAAATGGTTTCTGTCTAAAAAAAAGAAAAGAAAGATAACAAGTATTGGTGAGAATGTAGAAAAAAACAGAACACTATTCTTTTTTAAATGCTTCACTGGTAATAATATTAGTTAGTATGGCTACTATGAAAAGCAGCATGATGCCTTTCTCAAAAAACAAAAAATAGGATTACCATATGATCCAGCAATGCCACTAATAGATACACAGTCATCCCTCACTATCTGTGGATATTTGATTCTAGGATCCCCATGAATACTAAAATACACAGATATCCAAGTCTCTTATAAACATGGTGTAATATTTCCACATAATCTGAACACATTTTTCACATACTTTAAATCTAGATTATAATACCTAACACAATGTAAATGCTATGTAAATTGTTGTTACACTCTACTGTTTAAGAAATAATGACCAAAAAAATGCCTGTATGAGTTTAGTGTAGACACAGTTATCTTTTTTCTGCATATTTCCTTTTATTCAACTTTTAGGTTTGGGGTTATAAGTACAATTTGTTGTATGGGTAAGTTTCAGGTCATGGGGATCTGTTGTACAGATAATTTCATCACCCTGGTAATAAGCATAGTACCTAATTGGTAGTTTTTGATCCTCACTTTCCTCCCACCCTCCACCCGCAACTAGGGCTCAGTGCCTATTGTTTTTTTCTTTGTGTGAGTGTGTACTCAATGCTTGGCTTCCACTAATAAGTGAGAGCATGTAGTATTTGGTTTTATGTTCCTGTGTTAATTTGGTTAGTATAATGGCCTCCAGTTTCATCTATGTTGCCACAAAGGACATAATGTCATTCTTATGCACGTGTAGTAATCCATGGTGTAGATGTATCACACTTTCTTTATCCAGTTCATGATTGATGGGCATTTATGTTGATTCCATGTCTTTGGTATTGTGAATAGCACTGCAGTAAACATCCGTGTGCATGTGTCTTCATGGCAGAATTATTTGTATACCACTGAATATAAATCCTAGTAATGAGATTGATGGGTCAAATGGAAATTCTGTTTTAAGTTATTTGAAAAGTGTTCAATGTGTTTTTCACAGTGGCCGAACTAGTTTATAATCTACCAGCAGTGTATAAATGTTTCCTTTTCTCACAACCTCACCAGCATTTGTTGTTTGGTTGTTTCTGACTTTTTAATAAAAGCCATTCCGACTGGTTTGAGATGGTATCTCATTGAAGTTTTGATTTGCATTCTTCCAATGATTAGTGATGTTGACTATCATTTTATTTGCTTTTCAGTCACACGTCTTTTAAGAAGTGTTTGTTCATGTCTTTTGCCCATTTCTAATAGAATTGTTTGTTTGTTGCTTGTTGACTTAAGTTTACTATAGATTCTGAATATTAGATATTTGTTTAATGAATAGTTTGCCAATATTTTTCTTCCATTCTGTAGGTTTTCTCTTTACTACATTGATAGTTTCTTTTGCTGCACAGAAGCCCTTTAGTTATTTAAGTCCCATTTGTCAATTTTTTTGTTGTTACAATTGCTTGTGTGATTTTTGTTAATAAAATTGTCACCAAGGCCTATGCCCAAAATGGTATTCCCTATATCTTCTTGTAGGATTCTTAAAGTTTTAGGTTATAAATTTAAGTCTCTAATCAATCTTGAGTTGACTTTTGTGCATGGTTAAAGGAAAAGGTCTGGTTTCAATTGTTTGCATATGTCTAGCCAGTTATCTCAGCAATATTTAATGAATAAGGAATCTGTATTTGTTCATTCTCATGCTGCTATGAAGAAATACCAGAGACTTGGTAATTTATGAAGGAAACAAATTTAATTGACTCACAAATCCACAGGGCTACAGAGGCCTTAGGAAACTTACAATCATGGTAGTAGGGGAGGCAAACATGTCCTTTTTCACATTGCAGCAGCAGAAGTACCAAAAAAAAAAAAGGCCATTATATCTTGTGAGAAGTCACTCACCATCACAAGAACAGCATGAGAGTTACCACTCTTATGATTAAATTACCTCCCACAAGGTCCCCCACATGACATGTGGGAATTGTTATAACTATAATTCAAGATGAAATTTGAGTGAAGACACTCCCAAACCATATCATTTTACCTCTCATCTCTCCCAAATCTCATGTACTCACATTTCAAAACAAAATCATGCCCTTCAAATAGTCCCCCAAAGTCTTAACTCATTAAATGAAAAGTCCAAGTCCAAGGTCTCATCTGAGACAAGGCAAATCCCCTCCACCTATGACACTGTAAAATCACAAGCAAGTTAGTTACTTCCTAGATACAAAGGGGGTACAGACATTGGGAAAATACATCAACCAAATGGGAAAAATTGGCCAAAACAGAGGGGCTACAGGACCCATGCAAGTCCAAAATCCAATAGAGCAGCCACTAGAGTTCCAAAATAATCTCCTTTGACTCCATGTCTCACATCCAGGTCACACAGATGCAAAAAGGTGGGCTCCCATGGCCTTGGGCAGCTCTGTCCCTGTGACTTTGCAGGGCAAAGCTCCCTTCCTGGCTGTTTTCACAGCCTGGTGTTGAGTGTCTGTGGCTTTTCCAGATGCACAGTGTAAGATGTAAGTCGATCTACCATTCTGGGCTCTGAAGGATTATGGCACTATTCTCACAGCTCCACTAGGCAGTGCCCTAGTGGGGACTGTGTGGGATCTCACCCCAATTTTCCCTCTGTACTCCCTAGCAGTTTCCCAATGAAGGCTCCACCCTTGCATCAAACTTCTGCCTGGACGTCTGGGCATTTCAACACATCCTCTGAAATCTGGTGGAAGTTCTCAAACATCAATTCTTGACTTCTGTGCACTTGCAGTTCCAACAACACATGTAAGCCACCAAGTCTTGGGGCTTGCACCCTCTGAAGCAATAGCCTGAGATGTATGTTGTCTCATTTTAGCCACAGCTAAGCCAAAGCAGCTGAGACACAAGGCACCATGTCCTGGGCCCTGTCCACAAAACCATTTTTTCCCCTAGGTCTCCATACCTGTGATGGAAGGGACTGCCATGAAGTCCCCTGACATGCCTTGCGGACATTTTTCCCATTGCCTTGAAGACTAACATTCATCTCCTTGTTACTTACGCAACTTTCTGTAGCCAGCTTAAATTTCTCTCTAGAAAATGGGGTTTTCTTTTCAATCATATTGTCAGACTGCAAATTTTTATGCTCTGCCTCCTCTTGAATGATTTGCCTCTTAGAAATTTCTTCTGCCAGATACCCTAAATCACTCCTCTGAAGTTCAAAGTTACACATCACTCTAGGGCAGTGGCAAAATGCTACCAGTCTTGTTGCATAGCAAGAGTGACCTTTACTTTAGTTCACAAAAAGTTCCTCATCTTCATCTGAGACTACCTCAGCCTGAACATCATTGTCCACCTCACCATCCACATTTTGGTCAAAGCCATTCAACAAGTCTCTAGGAAGTTTCAAACTTTCCCACTTCTTCCTGTCTTCTAAGCCCTCCAAGTCTCTGTGAAGTTACAAACTTTCCCAGATTTGCTGGTCTTCTGAGCTCTCCAAATGGTTTCAGTCTCTGCGTGTTACACAGTTCCAAAGTTGTTTCCACATTTTCAGGTATCTTTACAACTGTGGCCCACTCTGCAGTAGAAATTTCCTGTGCTAGTTTGTTCTTACACTGCTATGAAGAAATACTTGAGACTGAGTAAATTATAAAGAAAAGTGATTTAATTCACTCACAGTTCCACAGGGCTTGGGAGGCCTCAGGAAACTTACAATCATAGTACAAGGGGAAGCAGACACATCCTTCTTTGCATAGTGACAGCAAGGACAAATATTGAGCAAAAGGGGGAAAACCCCTTATAAAACCATCAGATCTTGTGAGAACTCACTCACTATCATGAGAACAGCACAAGAGTAACCACCCCCATAATTAAATTACCTCCCACTGGGTCCCTCTCATGACATATGGGGATTATGGGAACTAAAATACAATATAAAATTTGGGTAAAAATACAGCCAAACCGCATCAGAATCCTTTCCCTGTTGCTTGTTTTTGTTGACTTTATTGAAGATCAAATGGCTGTAGGTTTGTGGCTTTATTTCTGTATTCTATAATCTGTTTCATTAGTCTATGTGTTTGATTTTGTATCAATCCATACTCTTTTAGTTACTGTAGCCTTGTAGTGTAGTTTTAAGTCATATAGTATAATAGCTTTGTTTTTTGTTTGTTTTTGATTTTGATTTGTTTTTGTTTTTGTTTATACTTAGAAGTGCTCTGACCATTCAGGCTCTTTTTTGGTTTAGCAGGAATTCAAAATTAGTGTTTTTTTTCCCCTAACTCTTGAAAAATATCATTGGGAGTTTGATAGAAATAGCATTTAAGCTTTAAATTCTTTTGGACAGTATGGCTATTGTAACAATATTGATTCTTCCTGTCCATGAGCATGGAATGTTTTTCTATTTGTTTTTGGCATCTCTGATTTCTTTCATCAGTGTTTTTAAAATCTAGTTGTAGAGATCTTTCAACTCCCTGGTTAGTATTCTAAGTATTTTGTTCCATTTTATTTGTGGCTATCATAAATGAAACTGTGCTCTTGTCATGGCTCTCAGATTGGACGCTGTTGGTGTATAGAAATGCTACTGACTTTTGTATACTGATTTTGTATTCTGAAACATTCCTGAAGGTTTTTTTTTCCCCAAAATATAGGGGCTTTTGGACAGAGACTGGGGTTTGTAGACAAAAAATTATGTCCTTAGCAAAGAGAGATAGTTTGACTTCCTCTTTTCCTATTTGGATGCCTTTTATGTTTTATCTTGCCCAGTTATTCTGTCTGAGACTGCCAGTACTATGTTGAATAGAATAGACAAGTGGGCATCTTTGTCTTTCTCCAGTTCTTAAGGGGAATGTTTCCAGCTTTTGCACATTCAGTATAATGTTGGCTGTAGGTTTGTCACAGACAGCTCTAATTATTTTGAGGTATGTTCCTTCAATGCCTAGTTTCTTGAGGGTTTTTAACGTAAAGGGATGTTGAATTTTATCAAAATCTTCCATACATCTGTAGAGATAATCATGTGGTTTTTATTTTTAGTTCTGTTTATGTGATGAATTACATTTATTGATTTGCATACGTTGAGCCAACCTTGCATTCCAGGTAAAAAGCTTACTTGATTGTACTGAATTACATTTTTGATGTGCTGCTGGGTTTAGTTTGCTACTATTTTGTTAAGAAATTTTACATACATGTTTATCAGGAATATTGGCCTGAAGTTTTCCTTTTTGGTTGTGACTCCGCCAGGTTTTGGTGTCAGAATGGTGCTGCTTATATAAAATGAGTTAGAGAGGATTTCCCCTGTTTTAATATTTGGACTAATTTCAGTAGGCTTAGTAACAGTTTTTATGTATGCTAGAATTTGGCTGTGAATCCATATGTCTCGGGGATTTTTCTGGTTTATTACTAATTCAATTTTAGAGCTAGTTATTGGTGTATACAGGGTTTTAATTTTTCATTTTTATTCATTGATTTTGTACCATGAAACATTACTGAAGTTATTTATCAGATCTATGAGCTTGTGAGAAGAAACTGTGGTGTTTTCTAGTTATAAAATCATATCTTTGGCAAAGATAGATAGTTTAACTTCTAGGTTTTCTAGATTCTGTTCATGGAAGTGTTTGTAATACTCTTAAGGATTTTTTTGTTTGTTTGTTTTTGTTTGCTTGTTTGTATTTTTATGGTGATGTCACCTTTATCAATTCTGATTGTGTTTATTTGTATCTTTTTTTTCATTGAATAATTTAGCTAGCAATTTATCAACTTTATTTATTCTCTGGGAGAGCCACCTTTTGGTTTTCTTGATCTTTTGCATTTTTTTTTTCATCTTGATTTCATTCGGTTCAGCTCAGCTCTAATTTTTGTTACTTCTGTTTTCTTCTGACAGCTGTGAAGTACTTTGGTTTGCCCTATTTTTCTAGTTGCTCTGGGTGTGATGTTAGATTCTTACTTTGAGATTTTTTTTTTAACTTTTTGATACAGACATTTAGCACTATAAGCTTTCCTCTTAACACTGCATTAGCTGGGTTCCAAAGACTCTGGTATCTTGTACCTTTGTTTTCATTAGTTTCAAATAATTTCTTTATTTCAGACTTAATTTTATTATTTACTGAAAAGTCATTCAGGAGCAGGTTGTTTAAATTCCATATAATTCCATGGTTTTGAGTGATCTTCTTAGTACTGATTTGTATTTTTATTGCACTGTGGTCAAAGACTGCAGTTGGTATAATTTTGTTTTTTGTTTTTTGTTTTTTTCCGTTTTTATCTGTTGAGGACTGTTTTGTGGCCGATCATGTGGTTGATTTTTAGTTATGTGTTCTGTATAGATGACAAAAATATATATTCTTTTGTTGTTGGGTGGAGTGTTCTGTAGATGTCTGTTAAGTCCATTTGATCAAATGTCAAGTTCATGTATTGAGTACCTTTGTGAGTTTTCTGCCTTGGTGATCTGTCTAATATTGTCAGCATGGTGTTGAATTCTCCTAGTATTATTGTATGGTTATCTAAGTATATTTGTATGTCTCTAAGAACATGTTTTATGAATCTGGGTGCTCCTGTGTTGGATGCATATACGTTTAGGATTGTTAAGTCTTTTTACATTGAACCCTTTATCATTATGTAATGCCTTTTTTTGTCTTTTTTGATTATTGTTGTTTTAAAGTCTGTCTTTTTCTGAAATTAGAATAGAAACATGTGTTCTTTTTTTCTTTTCCATTTTCTTGGTAGATTTTTCTCCACCCCTTTAGTTTGAGTCTATGGGCATCCTTGAATGTGAGATATCATTGTGGCACCCCAGCTAAAGTAGGGCTTATGAATATTCACGTGTTAATGGAGTTTTAGCTCTGAGCCAACTTATAGTGGGTCCAGTGGGTCCTGGGCTCATTTTGTGGTCATTTCCTTAGTGCCAGAATGCAACATCGGCATAGAAATACTAAAGAGGTGATAGAACACCCACATTGGCTCCCTGACTGATAGAGTGAGGGCCATTATGGTGGGAAAGGCCAAATGGAAGCCATTAGAGCTGCCTCTACCTGGAAAAGTAGTAAATCAAAAACAAGATTGCATCCCTGAAAGGACTGTGGAGATTAGTGCTACCATCAAGTACTTTAAAAACACAGGGGTGATTATTTTAGCCACATCCCCATTCAACTCTCCTATCTGGCCTGTACAGAGACAGATGGATCCTGGAGAATGGCAGAGGACAACCATAAGCTTAACAAAGTGGTGACTCCAACTGCATCTTCTGTACCAGATGTGGTTTCCTTGCTTGAGCAAATTAACACACGTTCTGGTACCTGATATGCAGCCATTGACTTAGCAAATGCCTTTTTCCCCATTCCTATCCATAAGGCCCACCAGAAGCAAATTGCCTTCTGCCTAGCAAGGCCAGCAATGTACCTTTACTGTCCTACCTCAGGGTTATATCAACTCTCCAACTTTGCATCATATTGTTATTAGGAGAGATCTTGATTGCTTGTCACTTTTACAAGACATCACACTGATCCATTATATTGATGACATTATGCTGACTGGATCCAATGAGCAAGAAGTAATAAACATACTGGACTGATTGGTGAGACATTTGCATGTCAGAGGAAATCAATACATCTAAAATTCAGGGACCTTCTACCTCAGTAAAATTTTTAGAAGTCCAGTGGTGTGGGGGATGTCAAGAGATTTCTTCTAAGGTGAAGGATAAGTTGCCATGTTTGGTCCCTTCAACAACCAGGAAAGAGGTACAATGCCACTGAACCTATTTGGATTTTGGAGGCAACATATTTCTCATTTGATTGTTTTACTCCAGACTGTTTATCAAGTGACCTGGGAGGCTGCCAGTTTTGAGTGGGGTCCAGAAAGGGA